ATTCATTGTTATCCAATTATAGCTATAAAAACAACTTTTCTGAAAAAATGTTTAACTCTACTAGAGACAACACAAACACTTCCAAGGAGTGTTTGCTGAATTTATTGATTGGATGAAATACATGAATGAAATGATATCACCGTAGCCACAGAGTGATAGCTAAGCCTCTCAACTGTTGTAAGTGGAAACAGTTAAGACTATCCAGTTATAGAATAATCCTGAGAACTGTCCTCACTCTAGTAGACAGCACAGACTCCCCAGGCCAGGGGTTGGGGAACTTCTGTAAAGATCCAGGTGATAAATACTTAAGGCTCTGGGTGCCTTGCGCGCTCTGTCACAGCTATTCAACTCTGCCGTTGTAGTGGGAACTAGCCATAGGCAGACAAAGCTCCTGGACCAGATGGCTTCACAGTTATGTTTTATCAAACATTCAAAGAAGAATTAACACTGATCCTTCTCAAACGATTCCACAAATTTTAAGAGAAGGAAAGACTCCGAAGCTCATTTTAAGAGGCCAGCATTATCCTGGTTCCAAAACCAGAGAAAGACATTACAAAGAAAGAAAACTGTAGGCTAATCTCCCTGATGCACATAGATGCAAAAATCTTCAACAAAATACCAGCAATACGTTAAAAAGATCATACATCACGATCAAGTGGGATTTTTTTCTTGGGATGCAAGGTTGGTTTAATATCTGCAAATCAATGTGATCACATAAACGAAGGATTAAAAAATCATGATCATATCAAGAGATGCAGAAAAAGCATTTGACAAAATCTAGCATCCATTTATAATAAAAACTCTCAGCAAAGTAGGAATAGAGGGGACATACCTCAACATAATGAAAATCAGACAATATATGACAAACTCAGAGCTCACCTCATACTCAACGGGGGGAAAACTTGTTCCTTAAGGTCAGGAACAAGACAGGGATGTCTACTTTCACCACCCCTATTCAACATAGTACTGGAAGTCCTGGCCACGGCCACTGGACAAGAAGAAATAAAAGGATTCCAAATTGGAAAGGAAGAAGTAAAACTGTCATCATTTGCAGATAATATGATACTTTCTGTAGAGAACCCTAAAGATTCCACCAAAAAAATTACTAGAACTCATAAATAAATTCAGTAAAGTGCAGGACACAAAGTTAATATTCAGGAATTGGTTGCATTTTATACACCAATAATGAACTATCAGAAAGAGAAACTAAAAAAAAAATCCCATGTACAACTGCATTAAAAACAAACAAACAAACAAAAAAAACCCCATAAAATACCCAGGAATAAATGTAACCAAGGATGCAAAAGGCCTGTACTTGGAAAATTATGAGATACTAAAGAAAGAAATAGAAGCAAGGCACAAATAAATGGAAGCATATACTGTGCTCATGGATAGAAAGAATTAACATCATTAAAATGTCCAAACTATTCAAAGCAATCTATAAATTCAATGCAAACCCTATCAAAACACGAATGGCATTTTTTACAAAACTAGAACACATAATCCAAATATTTATATAAAACCACAAAAGACCCCAAATAGCCACAGCAATCTTGAGAAAGAAGAACAAAGTTGATGGTAACACACTACTTAATATCATAGAAACAGACACATAGACCATCTAGCTGGTATGGCTCAGCTCGTGCACCAAAGGGTCTCAGGCTCATTCCCAGTCAGGGAGCACATGAAAGGCAGCTGATCGATGTTTCTCCTCTCTCTCTCTCTCTCTCTCCCCCCTCCCCTCTCTCCCTCCCCCCTTCCTCTCTCACTAAAGTCAATAAAAACATTTTTTAAAAGGAGAGAGAAAGAAAATGGTTTTCAAATCAGGGTTCCCGTGGTCCAGGTCACCACTGAAGTTCATGGGAGGCATTTATTATACTTACATTTCTGTACTCCTCAAATATTCTAAAATTCATAAAGAAATGATCATGAATCCTTATTTTTAAAAAGCTCCCAGATATGAGGCTCTCAGGGATCTAGCATTTAGAAGCCATTTCCTTTAAATTCCTTTTTTTTTTTTTTTGGAATATATTTTATTCGTTTTTTACAGAGAGGAAGGGAGAGGGATAGAGAGTTAGAAACATCGATGAGAGAGAAACATCGATTAGCTGCCTCCTGCACACCTCCCACTGGGGATGTGCCCGCAACCAAGGTACATGCCCTTGACTGGAATCAAACCTGGGACCTCTCGGTCAGCAGGCCGACGCTCTCTATCCACTGAGCCAAACCAGTTAGGGCCCTTTAAATTCTTAAATGGTAATTAATGAACACTACTTTAAATGACTAATTTAAAGACACTTCGGGCATGTTACATGCTTAAAGGTCACTCCTACAAGTACACATTGTATTGTCTTTAGATTTGTCTTGGATACAGATGTTAATAGAAGTGAGGGCTACAAGCTCCAACAGGTGGGCCAGCCAGCCTTATAAGTAAGGAACCTAGTGCCCTCTGGTGTTCTGTTTCTGTATTGACTGCCTCGGGTGCAGAACAAGAAAAGTGACAAGTTAAACTTGCAACTTCACTCTTCATGTTAAATAACCTCTCATATCCAAACCATAAGTACTGCAGTGACTACGAATTTCCTAAGGGGAAATTAGATACCAAAACTGGTATCCCAAACCTCTATCTATAAAGGAGATATATTATCAGCTGCCTCCTGCACACCCCCTACTGGGGACTGAGCCCGCAAGCCAGTCATGTGCCCTAACCGGGAAATTGAACTGTGACCCAGTTCACAGGTGAACTAACGCTCAACGACTTAGCAAAGCCAGTGGGGCTCCATGATGTTTTTTTTAAAAATGTCTCAACTGGCAGCAAATGCTTTCCTGGATATTGAATCTCTTTTTAAAAAAATATTTTTTTATTGATTTCAGAGTGGAAGGGAGAGGGATAGAAACATCAGTGATGAGAAAGAACCATCAATCAGCTGCCTCCTGCACGCCCCCTACTGGGGATCCAGCCCGCAGCCCGGGCATGTGCCCTTGGTCGGAATCGAACCCAGGACCCTTCAGTCTGCAGGCGGTGGCTCTATCCACTGAGCCAACACAGCTGGGGCTGAACCTTTTTTTTTTTTTTTTTTTAATGTTAAAGCAAAGTATTCTGATTTCTCTCTCTTTGAGCAACCCCAGCGGCCCTACTTAAGAGAAAAGAGGTTGAAAAAGAGTTTAACCTTATAACCCCTTTTATAAACAACTGGAAGAAAATGGTCGGTTTCCAGGTTGTGGTATTTTATTTCTGATGAGGTCATGCAGCACAGAGAAAGCACAACTGAGAACAGGGAGCCTGGGATCTGGTTTCATTGCGGCCTCTGGAGTCACAGCACACCATTTCCTTGGCTGCTGGGCTTGTCTCCTCGCCGTGGAGCGGACTCGGCAGCGATCACATTATTGACACTTTACAATCCTGCTCTCCCAAAGTGAAAACGCATGTAAAGGAAACACCGCACCTTTGGCAACAGGAAGGGAGCAACAGCAAGACCCACAAGTGAACCAGTGCGAAGCCAGAGGCCCTTCCGGGCTTCACACCCTTGCTGCCTGAATGTCAACGCTCACTGCACTCCCGGGGCCGCAGGACCTTTTCCTTAAAAAAGTTTTTCTCTCCCATTAATTCAATTTCACGGGCACATCCTTCCATGGAGACCACGAGGTGGTCCTAACCTGGAGCCGGGCGTCCCATCGCAGCCCGAGCCCCGCGAAGCTGCTGAGCCCCTGGAAGGTGCCGGTGGGACTGAGCCGAGCTGCAGGCGTAAAACAGCCAGGATCTGAAGCCTCGGGACCAACACAGACTAAGACACCTCAGCAATGGTCCACTCACCACACGCCGGAGCCGTGTTTTGGATAAGCGGAACTAAATGAAACGTATCAACACACTGACACTCATTTCACCTGCTTCCTTCTGCACTGGCTAACGCGGCTCCCAGCATGTTAATGACTCGCGTTTGTGGCTCATTACACGTGCACGGGACGGTTCGGCGGCGCCAGCTTATCACCGGGACGCAGGCCGGGACTGAGGCTCAAACTCTCGGAAAGTGCTGTTACCGTGCTCTCCCCGCGCCGTGACCCCACTTACTGCTCGGCGGCCTCGCCATACGGGTTTCCCCCGGCCTCCCGCGGGGTGCAGTCGAGCGGGGCCGGACACGTGGGCGCGGCCCAGAGCTCCCC